TCTAATTATACAAACCCTGATAAAATACTACAAGCATCGAAATAAAAATGACGATGGAAGTCATTGTTGTTCTGTGATGATGATGATTCTGATCTGTGTTAAACTACGGGCCTATAAACACTTACAAAAGCACTGAAGCATGTGCTGCCAATGCAAAGTAGTGCTGTATATGTAAATGTTCAGTGTAATTAGAGCAGAAAAGTCCCATTTAGGAGCAATAACTCATAAATAACATCCAGCACTATTAGGAATGTATACAAACATAAAGAATCTTATGGGCAATCAAACTCAGTGGCTTTCGAAATATCACAGTAATAAATAACTAATAAAATCTGTCACTTAAGTGCATATACCATGCATCATCAGTCAGGTGTATGCTGGGTTTGCTCTTTTAATATCACTGTCTTAAGCTGCGTTCCAGTTAACATATTTATGGCCTTCCCTTCGTCTTGTGGACTTGGATGTATGTCATTGCTTAAGTTGCACCCAAATGCATGTTGCTTCATGTTACAGTTGTATCCTCATCTGTTGATGTTAGAAAGACACAGGAGTATTTCCATTTTGCATAAAGGATGGTTTAAAACTGCTAAAACCTACATTTTGCTACATTATGTATTTTATTGAACATTAAATGTAGGTTTAAAATGCTACATAAAACCTAGTAGTTGTATTTTTATGACGGCAGTAGAGGGACTGTTTTACCTCACTGTACAATATGTTAGGAACTCTTCTGAGCAAACAAGTATTTAGTCATGTTGCAAATGTGTAAATAAGCTAAGATAGAAACACAAAACCTCAAAGATTTATTAACCCCTTAACTGTGGGACGATTCTTTTTTTTGTCCTTTTTCTCTATCAAAGCTTTTAGTAATCATCATAAATTATATATCATTTGAAACCTTAGAAGCCCAAGATTCATCCTGTGAAAACCATTTTGAAATCGGACATTGCATTACCATGGAAATGGTACTTTAAAATCTTTTGGCGGTCTCCTCCCACTTAGTCGGCTGTGTCAAGTGTCATATTACAAAATGTATTACGGTATTTTACAATCAAAACTTTTTATAATCTTGACAAAATGCATATAATTAGAAAGGTCTGAGTCTATTTTGAGATAGAAGTAAGATTTACAGAGATATCTAGACATTTGTGACAGAAAAATGCATTAAAAAAATGTATGGCACCCGGTGGCTGTTTGTGGTATAACGCCCTAAATAAAATCTCACAGGAACCTCTTTTTTTTCATATCAACTTCAAATTTGGAACATAACTTATTTAGACACAAGACTTTAATTGTATACCAATTTTAGAGTAAAACCTGTTATGTAAAATATTTACTATATATAAAATAAAATAAAATTAGTATAGCGCATTTTCTTTACAGTAAATTTAAACGTCTATAACTTTTTGATACTTGATTTTTTTTTTTTTTTATTCCACTTTTGCAATAATCTGCTGATTTTCTTCTTTAAAAAGAAACCACCAACCTTAGGTCTGTATTCCAAAGTGTTCATAAATTACAACAATTTAAGTTTGGATAGTGCACTTTATTGCCTATTTTTTTTTAAATGGGGGGTGACAGTTAAGGGGTTAAACAAAAGCATGATGCTAGAGCACTTATTTGTAATGAAGCTGAAGAACATTATTTTTGTCAAGAGCATCATTCAGTGCCTTATTCAGATGGAAGTAGTATTTATTAAGTTAAAATGAATGATAAAGCTTAACAGTTCCTGTGGTTTGAGTTGTAAATCTTTATTTCTTGTAAACAAACCTCTCGTGGTTTGAACATGCAGCACTGGAGACACAGGCACTATTCTGAGACGAACAGAATCTCCTCCACAAATGCAAATTTTAGTTTCAGGCCACACTTCTAGTTTGACTAGAGTTTATTTGATTCAGTGCTTATAAATAATTCAGCTCTGTATACTCCCTTTCTTAATTTCAGTAAAACAGAACAGGTTCTGAAGTTGATGAGCTGAAGTTTCTCCTGTAGCGTTGCAGTGAAGCGTGGAGGTTTTCTTCCACACACACAGGATGCACCTGCTGCTCCTGCGCTCTACTGTTGTATATCAATGCAAAAGATATGTTTTCTCAGTATTCTCTCTTACATACATATAAATTACATAGAATTTATTTATAATACATAAATACTGTATATAGCTGAAGTCAACTTTCTCGCAAAAATTGTTTACCCCAAAATCAAAGCGAAAAAGAAAGAAATAAAATGTGTTTTTGAAATCATTCTTTTTTATACTCAGTCTTAAGTCTTCGTTTTTGATCAAACAGTAAGAAGACTAATATTGTACAATATTATTACAATTTAAAATACCTGTTTATATTGTAATACATTTTAAAATGTAATTTATTTCTGTGATGCACAGCTGAATTTTCAGCATTATTACTCCAGTCTTCAGTGTCACATGATCCTTCAGAAGACATTCTAATTTCCAGTGTTCTGAAAATTCAAAATATCTATATTTGCTTGAAATGTAACTCTTTTTAAAAGTCTTGACTGTCACTTTTGATCAGATTAATGCATCCATGCTGAATAAAATTATTCATTTATTTGGGGGGAAAACAATCTTACCCATACTGTTGAACAGTAGCTATTGCATACCATGACTACAAAAACAAAAACAAACAAAGAAACGATTATATGCATGCATTGTTTCTTCTCTTTCTCTTCCTTCTCCTAGCATTATTTATGGCAACTTCTGGTGCAGTACTGCCACAGACTGGACTGAATTGTGAAGCACAGGCAGGTGAAAATAAACAAAAAATAAATCATTTTTAAATGATCCTGCATAATCCTAACATTTTAAGCAATCTTAATATAACACTATATTTTTATGTTGTTCTGTGGATTCTTTCAGAAGGCTTTTCAAATGTAATGTCTTTTTAATTCCTTAAGTACTATTCTTTCTTATACATTTTTTTATTTACATTTTATTAGTACATGCTCTAGTGTTTTTGTTTGCTCACAATAATTACACTGCCTTGTTTCAGGTTTTCATATTTTATACAATGAATGATTTAGTCCAGAATGCCCTATTCGAATTTAAAGGAATAGTTCACCCAAAACTGAAAATTTGATGTTTATCTGCTTACCCCCAGGGCATCCAAGATGTAGGAGACTTTGTTTCTTCAGACTGATAGACTGCAACGATTAAAGTTAAAAATCATCATATGTGTTCTACTGAAGAAACAAAGTCACCTACATCTTGGATGCCCTGGGGGTAAGCAGATAAACATCACATTTTCATTTTTGGGTGAACTATCCCTTTAAGCAGTAATTGAATCTTCCTTCCTGTTATTAAAAACTTTTCTCCCATTGCCTACTTGTTGCTTCATGCTATACAGATATCTGCCGTTTCTTTCACAGTTCCACACTTGTGCATCTATCTCTGTGTGTTTCACAGCTCGCTTATCAACCATTTCATTAGCCTCCACTCCTATATGAGCAGGAGCCCACAGAAACATTCAGCTTGCATTACTTAATCTTAAAAAAATGTTGCAATAATCTCATATGTAGTGTCTTGCCTTGACGATTTTAATCCACTTGCAAGGCTTGATAGTGCTGCAGAAGAGTCAGTACATATTACATCTGCTCTTGTTTTACATCTTCTCCCCACTGGAGTGCTAACATCATGGCAGTTCATTCTGCTGCATACACAGATATGTGTTCATTTATTCTTCAGTAATACTAGTTTGTAACTTTGGAATATATTCAGCAGCAGCTGTTCATCCGTAAATTAGATCTTTAGATCTATCAGTGTTTATTATGTGTAGCCATGATAAATAGATCTGATCTAAATACTGCTATACAATCATATTCAATTGTAAGTCATCTATAGGCATTGGAAATATCCACAGGGAAATATTAGATCACAGGAGGACTAACGTTTGCACATTTACTCCTAACAGCATTTCCTCACGCAGAGTTGAAAGCCATTTCTCATTTCAGGTGTTACTCTGTGGAATAAGAAATCCTTGAGTGAAGATTTGGACACTCGTCCACAGCCTCTGACAGATTTTCAGTTCAGTAGCTCTGACTCTCTCTCTAGTAAGTCCAGTCTCCTGGATGCAAGTGCTTCCCTGAAAGCCAGCTTCATGGCAGGGCTGGTGGAATTGAGAGGATCTGTCTAGTATCTGTGTGACACCAAATCATCAATCAAGCCAGCAGTCCAGAGTAACAGTGTATTACTAAACCTCCAGATTCAAACAGCTTACTAGACCCAGCTGGGCCAGATCACCTACCCTCGGGTGTTTGAGCAGAAAACTGCAACACATGTGTTCACAGCTGTAGGCTACTGTACAGAGCTCAGGCCTTCATGGTGTTTGATTGGACATTTTCCCAAGACAAAGGGAGAACTGAATGTCATGGTCAAGAAGACCCCTGAACTTTCAATTGAAGGAAAACGAGCTGTGAAAAGAAAATGTATGCGAATATTAGCCACTACTTGCATGGAGGCCCTGCATTTGTAGCTCCCCACTCTGTTAAATGAGAATCCACAGCATGTGGCTCCAACAAAAGTCTGGCTGTATTGTCTTCATTTACTGGATAAAAAAAGCAAATCAGTTGGAGAGAGAAATCAGCACAAGTTCGGTTTCCATCACTGAATATATAGTGAAAGCTCTGGAAGAGGCAATAAGGACATTTAAAGACCTGTCCAGAAGTGTAATGATAAATGTCTTCCACAATAATAATAATAATATAGCATGGGTTATAAAAAAATTTATTAGGGGAAGGGTATTTGATGTCCACAATAACAATCTAATTTAATTGATTCTTTTATTTTTCATTCTCTCGTGCTCTCTCTTTTAATGATGATAATTCTCTATTCGAGGGGTGCAAAAATTATATTTCTATATTTGTGTCAACAACAAGCAGACAATTTGTGCTGTTTACTCCAGTGCAGCATGCAATAGCAGACAGCACGTGACACAATCGTCATCACGTTTTTAGCGGAACTGCTTAAAGTGAAACAGAAAGTACTCATTCCAGAGACGCTATTGCGGAGGATTCTAAATCTAACAAATGCCTTCACATGTCACGGTAAGTTTGTTAAAACGCTTCAAAGCTATAATATCTGTTACTGTGAGGACCTTCTGCGTCTAAACAGATGTTATGTCGAGCTCGAGCGTTGTTCGCTTCTCTCTAGAGAGCTATATATCACGGTGGAAACTATAAAGGCGGACGAGAAGCGCAGGGCGTGCAGGGTAAACTCGCAAACCAGCCGCCAAAAGTTTACTTAAAAATGACCAAGAGGCGTCCATAATGTACTTTAATTCAATATATGTGAGTGGCGCGTGAAGATTTTGAGCGCCTATAATCTGACAGAAAACATGACTGTAACAGTTCATTACTATAACAAAAACAAACTTAATACAACAACAACAAAATCAGCTTGAAATGTATGACAAAAACGGCTGAATAGGTCATGCGGACCCGGTATACCGAACCCGAGACTACCTGAAGGAGGTGGACTGAATTCGGTTTCATGTGGAGCGGTTCGCGTGAATGTGAAAGCAACTCAGACGCAGATGCGCACTTGATCAGGAAGCATGGGCCTCGCTCAGGGCGGTACCCACCATTGAGGACCCCGAGGTCCGGACCTCGGTATTTGTCCAATAACAGAGTCAGACGGACTGGGAGTAAAAAACGGCCCTGGATTTTCTCCCAAATAGGCCCACCACAACTACAAGCAGTCGCTACTATCTCACAATATTACAGCAATCCTATCGCATTTATGGCAAATAACATCACAAAACTCATGGTGACCCTGCTGACAAAAACAATAGAAACCATCACAGAAATTCTAATGATTTCCACTACAAATACCATTACAAATATTACAAACCATCAACTTTTAACCATTAAAACCATTAAATAATGGTTTCCTGAAGTGTGTTTTGGGACATATTACATTAGGATTTAGTGGTTTTAACAAAAGCCATGAATAGAAGGTGACCAATTACCAGTAGAGACCAACAGGCACCATTACAGTTTCCATTAAAACCAATAAAATTTTCATTATAACCAGTAAAACCATTACAAATTATGTGATGGTTTCTATGTTTTTTCAGCAGGGGATTGAAATAAACATATTATTGTATGAACTAAAATACTTGATCTACATAAAAAGAGCAGAATGCAAAATGTATAATATGACAATGATAGACAATGATAAACATAAATCTAGAAACCTGAAACAACAGAATTCTTCAATTTGAGTATTCATATGTCTGTCTGTCTGTGTGTGTGCGTGCGTGCGTGCGTGCGTGCGTGCGTCATGTTAATCAGACTAATCATATTATATAGGCTACTTCATTTACTCTATTTTGTAACCTGTTGTAGAATCGCTGCTGTCTCTTTATGTATGAATTATGAATGAATGGAATATTCATGTCAGACAATGCAGAGTAAAAAAGCAGTGAACGTTCGGACTCAGGGTGTCCTGGGACTCACTAAAAAATGTTGGGTTAAAAATAACCCAACAAGTAACCCAACTATGGGTTAACATAGCACCTTCCCAACTGTGGGTTATTTTTAACCCAATGATTGGGTTAAAAGCCAGTTGGGTTAAAAATAACCCAACAGTTGGGTTAACTATTTACTTTTATTCATGAGATTATTTTAATGAATAAAATACACGGTTTTCAAATACAGTTTGTTTATTTAAGTAGAAAAACAATAAAACTGTTTTAAAAACATGTTTTAAATTTTAAATGACAAATGTACTCAATATTGGTGAGCGTAGTATTTAATTATTATTATTTAATTATGTAATTAACAATTATTTGCATATATTGAATTCAAAATACACCAGTGAACATGTAGAACACGTGACAAATAAATATTGAAGTACAAATATTCAAAATACACATTAAATTCAAAACAAAACATACAATATACATAAATTAAAATATACCGTTAACTTCAAAACACAAATATGCACATACAGTACAAATATTCATAACAAATACGGTATACAAATAAAAAAAAAAAACAGTGTACACCATATGCATTGTGTTATAAACACCTTAATGTGTGTTTTGGCTACTGGATCTACTGATGATCAGTAACACTGAATACAAAGTTTTTTAGGAGGCAGCAATGTGTAGAAGGAACTCCTCCAGGAATATTATAGACTGCATGCTGCAAGAACTCCCAAATGGGAGCAGAGGGCTTTGGGTAGTTTATGTCATAGATGTAGAACATTTTGAAGCATACATCCACTGCTTGAAGTAAGGTCTCCTTTTCAACTGCCTCTCCATTGAAAATGATGAAAACTTGGGAGGAATTTTCTTTGTCTCCAAGCATCAAGACATGTGGATCCTGGCTTGTCTCATTGTTGAGGTAGTGCACCATATTAGTACCAACCTTGAAAGAATAAATAAACTTTAGTTGGCATATATGACAAACATTCCAGTGATTCAATATATGTTTACAAATGAATCACAGAAAAAAACAGCAGTGTTACACTGTGTAAAAGTAAAACTGAAGCAGTGTTGTAGTGAATTAAAGTAGGTTAACTCTAAACTATGTTACTATATAACACATTTGCAAAATGCCTGCCTGCCTGCCTGCCAGGAGACACCTGTCTACACCAGACGAGAGTGTGGAATCACTTAAAAAGCTATAATCAATGAAAACACTGGATTTGGACTGTAGACAGATGCCGTATTTTATTTCTGATGCGTTTCTGGAAAGTTCGTTTTGGCCTGATTTTGTTTGAAATTACGGCACATTAGTTCGTTCTTTGATTTCGCTTTAAGTATATCGGGGCCTTTAAAGGAGCCAATCCTCTAAATAAGAGCTTTTCAGACAGAGGGTCAAAATGAAGGTAGAAAATATTTTCATAATAGATTTTTGTGAATAACATTTTTGTGCAAATTTTTTTACCAACATTATAAGTGAACTACAAAAATACTACATATTTAATAAATACATATGACTTGACTGCATGTAACGGGTGGAAATCATACAGTTCACTGACACTAAGTGCTTCCAAAACTTGGTCAGGAACAACAGCGTAGGCAAAGTAATGATGACTGAAACAAACTGTTGTCCATCTCTGAACTATCAGTTTCACTTTGTCACCAAGAGTGACAATTTTCTTAATACAGCCAAACTGGGTATCTCCATCAGTATTGCAGGACATGAAAACAGTCATCCCTGGTCTATATACTGTGCCATTAACCTTGACCCATGAGGGGATATAAACCTCACTGGAACGGGGAAAATCGTCCAAGCTACCAGTAATATTTTGAAATCCCTCAACTGACTGAAGAACTGAGTTTTGACCTGAACCAATCTCAGTTTCCTTCTTGAACAACCCGTCTGTTAACAGCTGAAAGCACAGCATCATTTGGTGCCTGTATGCCATAGTCTTTGTGACATTTTTAAAATTACAAGTGACATGGCTTAGTCTTTTAAAAAAGCTATGTTTAGCTTCGAATCGCATTGTCCAGAAGTTGACAAGTGGGCCTATCTTTCTAAAAGCAGATGGATAGTGAACCATGAAATGGTGTTTCGGTCTTAAATTCAAATTAGGGAACAACTCTAGGAAGAGTGTGTGATGGTCCTGAATGAGACTTCGGAGGTATATTGTGGCCTCAGGAGTCATGGATGGGGAAAATATCATTTCCATACAAGACAACAGTAGAAGCAGCAGTTCCCAGTACTTGTTGTCATGTGGAATTAAGTCACCTATTAGAAGGGGAAGAAATCGTAACAGACACCACATTTGTGCTGCAGTCTGACGCATGGCACTGCTGCAATGGTTGGGTTAAAAAAACAACCCAACGTTTTTTACTGTGTAATCATATTATAGGCTACTTCATTTACTCCATTTTCTAACTCCGTATCTCTCAAATGTAACCCTTTGTAGAATCGCTGCTGTCTCTTTATGTATGAATCATGAATGAATGGAATATTCATGTTAGACAATGCAGAGTAAAAAATAGCAGTGTACGTTTGGACTAGAGGTGTCCTGGGATTTTTACTATAGTACTATAGGCTACATGCTCTGTATAGTGAGATTGGCAGGCAAAGGTAATCTTATGTAACTGGTCGCTTGTTTTTTTTTCTTGTTTTTTTTAGCTTCTCCCAAGCGCCATTATCTTCACATTTTTATGCTTGCCATCACGAGCCCACGCTCCTTCACGTCAGTTTCGGTTTCTTTTTTTAAGCATTAAGCAAAAATAGATGGCATTAGCGCCCCCTTTTGTCGGCCGTCAACGTCACTTAATCTGACACTTTTTCTTTGATGATGAACCAGCCAGGCCGACAGCTGTCTTCTCCAGAACGTCCAGATGGCCAGTCCGCCCCTGACAGAAGTTGTAAAATAATTACCTTATATTAATTCTGCTTTGGTGCTGCAAGGATAAAAAGCCAAGATAACAGATCTTCTCATCTGAGATGCCTCAGCAGTAGGGGTGTGCGATATAGGCTAGGCTATCGTCTGCGATAATATCGCAATTGTTGTTTTAATGATGTGCAATTTGACATAGAGTATTTTGCAAAAACCATTCAAAACACCCCTACAGAGTGCACGCGTACATTAGGCATACGTGAAGTCTAGACTAGTGCGTGTGCGCATTTAGAGTGCGTTCTTTCACTGCATGATTCAGTCTATTAAAATGCATTTAGAATTATAACAAAATTCAAGACATGAAAATTTATATATTTATACCACTTCATATAGTTAATCAATTTCACACAAAGAGTGCCGTTTTTCTCCAAAAATTACCATGATTAGAAATGTGATATTGATTTAATACAACAGTTCAATAAACAAGAAGAGACTTAAGTTTTAGACACCATATTGCCTGTTTTTGCTCTATTTCGCCAACAAAAATCATTCCAAACACAGCCACAGCACTGTCTTGCATCTCTGAGCAACACGATGGTGCCTTCATTCATATGATTCAACCGTTTAAATGATTCGGTTCAGTCACAATGACTCACTTATTAAAGGGGTCATATGATGCTATTTCAAGTTTTCCTTTCTCTTTGGAGTGTTACAAGCTGTTCGTGAATAGATAAGATCCCATAAAGTTGCAAAGACTAAAGTCTCAAACCCAAAGAGATATTCGTTATAAAAGTTAAGACTCATCCACACCTACCTAAAACGCCTCGTTTAAACACGCCCCAACATGTCTACCTCACTATGTGGGAAGATTTGCATAACGCCGCCCAAATGTTCCCGCAAAGAAAGAAGGCGTAACTTTGATTCTTGCTGTAGTATTGTTGTGTAGCAAGAAATGAATTGTCATTTCTAAATAAAACGATGATCTTATTTTGAAAAGTCTCAAATCCAAAGAGATATTCTTTATAAAAGTTAAGTCAACCACGCCTACCTAAAACAGCTCGTTCTAACGCCCCCACATGTCTACGTCACTATGGGGGAAGATTTGCATAACGCCGCCCAAATGTTCCCGCAAAGAAAGAAGGCGTAACTTTGATTCTTGCTGTAGTATTGTTGTGTAGCAAGAAATGAATTGTCATTTCTAAATAAAACGATGATCTTATTTTGACGAAAACATTATTGGCTCCTGTAGATGGACATCAGAAGTTTTCTGTACGAAGCAGACACCGAGAAGCAGAAAGGAGAGATGATGAGTCTGAGGGAGGTAAGACTTGATAAACAAACTTTATTCTCAGCCAACAGAGTCAGGTCTCAGGCATCAGATGAAAAGCATTAAATCCCAGGAAAATCCCAGGACCTCTGTCAAATCTATGGAATTGCACTAGCCCATTGCAGCGAAAATAAAAAAAAATGTTGTGTTCTGTAGAACTGTCTTATGAAATTAATATCATGTAGTGCAAAATGAAAATTCAGTTATATAATTTTCACTTGCCGTTTGCTTCAGTAGTTTTAATATGTAAATCAAAATCATATTTTAATGCTTTATAAGTTGCAAAATTAAAATCAAAATGTATTACCCAAATTGATTAGATATGTTTAACATGTCCAAGCAAAAACTGTAGCAAAATTATCATTTAAATGCTATTATTTCTAAATGCATTTAGACTTACGG